ATTTTTATATTTTGAAATACTTTGATGAAAATTATTTATATGCATACACAAGGTTACACAACTATAAGAAAAAACTTATATTGAAAAAATTACTAAACTTCAAAATTGCAAACACGTTGATATCTTTTAATGAAGTTCTGAATAAAATTATAATCGTAAAATATTTGAATTTTAAAATTGCAAATTAAATCAAGAATATTAATAGTAAAAAATTTAATAAATTGTGAATTTAAATTGAATGGTATTTCTTCCATCTTAGACATTAATAGGTACCACTCGTGATAAATGTGTTACATAATTACACAAATCCATATTGACTGAACGAAAAAAATCATAAAAATAAAAAATTAAAACACATGTATTAAGTTTGCTGAAAGACGTTACAATATATTTTTTTATCAAAAATTGATTGCACCCTAAACTTGTATATTATTTTATGTCTATAAATTTCTCCAGGATTTAAAATGCACCCAGGAAAATTAGTGTGATTCATGGCATCAGGATAATTTTGCGTTTGAAAACTCAAAGCACCATGTCTTCTATACCTGGCACCCATTTTTCCACGGATCTCATCTTTGTAAATGCCAAGTACGTTTTTAGTTGTCGGTCCATAAGTTGGCATCTCCATTTCGATAATATCGACATCATGTTCATCACAGTTTTTGTATATTTTTGGTGGTTCAGGTACGACTTCGGTTATACTTTGTCTCATGTCAGTGGTACTGTCACTGCTTTCTGTGGATTTTTTACTTACTTCATGTACTGATTCTTGAACTGGTGAACTTTGTGCAATACTAATAGATTGTGCACTAGGTTTTGGTGAACCGATAATTTCATCAACAGTCTCATTCTCTTCTGATGTTGTTGCTGATTTTGTATCTAGAACATATTTGGTTTCTTCATTATCAGATTCTGCATTAGAAGCAACATCTGCTTTCACAGGCGTTTCAGATGCTGCTGGTTCTGATTTATCACATTCCATGTCAAACGTGCAAAAACATTCAGGCTGACAACATATATGCTCTTGCTTATCACTATCTTTAATCGGCGTTATTTTTTCCTCAGCTGGAGATGACACTATACTGTCTTTAGCAAGTTCTTCATCTTCTATTGTTTGATCCTCTTCCTCATCTACAACTGTGTCTTCAACAAATCCTTCATCCTCAACAGACTCATCGCGATCTTTTACAGATGCTTCGCCTGAAATCAAATCATCCTCCACAGCTTTGACATCATTTTTCTTTGCATCATCTTGGAACTCCAAAGCTTCAAATTCATCATCAAGCATGAAAAACTGTTCCTGGTCCATAACACAATCGCGTGGATTTTCTGTCTGGTATACAACAGCTTGTAGCACCAAAGGATCTTCGTAGACATCAAAAGGTATTATTTGGTGACCAGGATTTGGCATCTCGTTTGCTGTGTGAAATTGTACACCGGGTTGATCACTGTAAACTTCTAAAATACGACCTGATTGTGGATGCAAAGCTCGTGCAACAAACCTCATTGTTTGCATACTGGCTTTGTTCACACAATAATTAATATTAAAACCACCACCAGGCACATGCTTTAGCATAACTCCAAGACCACGTGGAACTCTGAAATCATATGCAGTACCTTCAACAAATTTAAATTTACCAGTAGGCACACTATTGACATCGACGCCAGTGTATTTATCACTGTTCAAAGTCACCAGATGTGCATATAATTCCTTGAAACCTGCACCATGACCAGCTAGATTAAAATATGAATGGTTTGTCAAGTTTATAGGTGTTGGCTGATCACAAGTAGCTTGGAAATTTATACTAAACTCATCATTTGGTTTCAACTCAAACGTAACCGTAGCCAATAAGTTACCTGGATAACCTCCTGAGTTATTTTTAGACAAATGGGTCATAACAACTTTGTTGCCAACAATCTGACTGCGCCACAAAACTTTGTCAAATCCTTTGAATCCACCATGCAAGTGATCATTACCAGCATTTGCATCCAATTTATATTCCTGATTGTCTATATTCAAAAGGCTTTTACCAATACGATTTGCCACACGGCCAATGACTGCTCCAAAGTAAGGATTCTTATTAGACATATAGTCTTCTAATGTATCAAAACCTAAGACAATATCTTCAAGTACACCATATTTGTCAGGTGTTTTAATACTAACTATTGTAGCTCCGTAGTCAATAACTTGTACAAGAACACCATTTGCATTTGACCAAGTGTAGCGTCTTACGATGCCCTGAAGATGTCCAGTTGTTGGATGTCTTAAAATACCAAACCCATCACGAGCTAAAGACACTTTAGGCACTTGAGCTATGTATATTGAAGACACGGGTGTGGATTTTGTTCGAATTGAGACACTTTCATCATTTTCACTTTCGACATTTTCACTTTCATAAAATTCTTCACTCATTTTAGTAATAGACAATGGTATTAGTGCGTTCAGAAGATGATTGGCATGGTTTTAAAGTATTTTATAGATTTTTATGTGATTTTTATATTTATTTTTGTATAAATATTGTTTATATTGACATTGGTTGACATTTTGTTTTCCAGTTTACTTATATATAAAATAAAAATATTTTTAATTTTAATATTAACTCTTAACCGGTGCATGACGTGATGGGTATTTCAATAAATACTAAAATCATAAAATATCACTTGATGAAAATACGTGTTATAATTTCTTTACCCGAACGTGAATCTCAAAGAATTCTGCATGACATACCGTTTTTACTAATTCGAGTGTTATTACTTTCGCATAATTCTAGTATCTATTATCTAGATAAATACTAAAATAATAAATCTTGATCATTTTTGAGCATGAAATAATTTAATCTAGCAGAAGTATTTTATGCACATGCATTTATTAAAAATGGTATCATATGTCGTTTATCTTTTTAATTTAAGCACTTTATATCTATATGTCTATACACTTTATATCTATACAAATACTAAAATCAGTAGAGGTCACTTAATAAAAATTCAAATTATAAATATTTTAAATAAATGACAATATTGGTTTGTAGCAACTCTTAACTTGAAGAGCACGCAGTGACTTTCAAGAAGCACTTAGAAAATGTGCTGTTTGTAGTACAATCTTGTGATTCAGGTATGTGATTTCTCTAACTAAGTAAGATATGATAAAATCGTTACTAAGGTAAATCCTTTAAAGCGGCGAAATAGGAACTTTCAACTCATTCAGAAGTTCAGTTTGTAGGCATTCTTCTCACCAACTAGATAGAGTAAATAAAGAAAGTTATTTCCTAAAATGCGATAGAATCATATTAATTAAACTCAAGAGAGTTTCCTTGGAGGAAAATTCATGAGCGGAATAAATTCTCATTTTCATCAAACGGACGGAATAAACGTTTTTTCGAAGATGTATATATATATATATATATATATATATATATATATAAATATATATACAGGTGTGTGTGTGTGTGTGTTCGTGTAATAAATATCTTTGTAAATAAATAAACTGACTTTATCGTTCGTATTTTGTTTTTATTGATGTTGTGTCAATATTTCTTTTCTCTATCTGACTGTCTGATGTTACAAAGTCAAAGAAATATATATATATATATATATATATATATATATATATGATATGTATGTATTTAAACCATAGACCTTCACCTACATGTCTATGATTTAAACAAACTTTTAATTATAATAATTTATAATAATTAATAATATAAAATTGTCCTACTAAGGTTCCAAATAGACGTAAGATAAATTACCAATCAATTACATAGATTTACTTTATCGTGTTTACCCTTACGATTTTTGTGAAATATAATTTTTCACTTTTCACTCAATTTAAGAGAATCCAT